ATTTTTAAAAATAGGCTGTGGTTTGATGTACCTGAGGAATTTTTATCTAATTCAGTTGTGTGTATGTGTGTGTGTGTGTGTGTGTGTGTGTGTGTGTAACTGGAGATTGAACTCAGGCCCTTACACTTGCCAGGCAAGTGCTTATTCTATTGAGCTATCGCCCCAGCCCCTGTCTAATTCAGTCTTGAAGCTGAAGTTTTCTTCTAGAAGTTTTATAGTCTTTGCTTTCCTAACTAGTGTTCTCTTCCATCTTGAATTACTTTTAGCATACGTTGTGAAATAACAGGCTAAATTCATCACTGGGACCAAAAACCCAACATATACAGTTTAAAAAAGGAAGGTTTTTTCATTTTTGCTCTTGATTTCAGGGCTTTTAATTCATGGCTGGCCAGTGTTAAGGCATGAATGTCATGGTGGAAAGGTGGAGGGTGGCCAGAAAATATAGCAGGGGAAATAGTGCCAGAGAGAAAGTGGCCAGGGACCTGAAATAGAACCGGAAGTCACACCTCCATGACATACCAGACCACCCAAAAGTGTGCTTTACTAATCCTCTAGGTGGCTCTGTATTCAATCGAGAGATTAAGTCTCATAGAATCCTAGTCACTTGGGCCCAAAAGAGTAACTGATTTGTCTTTGTTCTCATAGAGGTTAGAATTAGGGCTAGAAGCAGCAATAATCATGATTACCAATTATATAATTTATTTTCTATCTGTGTTATTGGTTATGCAGGTTAATGAGTTTTATTTTGGCAGATTCCTATACAGTATTTGATCATTTTTACCTCCCCTTCTTATCCCACCCTCCCAGCTAGTTCATAGTGTTTAAAGATTGGGTTTCAGTGTATATATATATTTGCTCATATCCACCTCCCTTATTACCCTTCCTCATTCTCCACACTCCTATTCCCTTCCACTTTTCCTACTTTTTTTTTTTTTTGGTACTGGGGATAGAACTCAGGACCTTACACTTGCTAGGCAGGCATTTATGCTACTGAATTATATCCACATCCCCCTTTTCCTATGTTTTGTCTTTTTTTTTTTTTTTTTTAAGATTTCATGTATTAGGGCCAACATACAATATTTATCTTTCCAAACCTCGCTCATTTTGCACACCATCATAGTATCTATATCCATCCATTTTCTTGCAAAGGACAGAATTTCGTTCTTCCTTATAGCTGACGGACACTCCATTGGACATATACCACATTTTTCTCTTATCCATTCATCCATTGACAGGCACTGAGGCTGGTTGTTGTGAATTTTGACTGAATACATGTGTCTGTGCAGGTATCCTGTAGTGTACTAATTCCTTCCGGCATGTTCAGAGGAGTGGTATAGCTGGATCAAATAGTAGATTTCTAGAGTTTTCAGGACCCTCCATACTGTTTTTCTGTAGTGGCTGTACTAATTTACATTCCCACCAGTACTGTAGAAGGGTACAGTCTCTCCCACCCCTGTTTTTACCAGCATTTATTGTTTTCTTTTGTTCTTGGTAATAGCCATCACTGGGGTGAGGCAATCTCAGTGTACTTTGGATATACATTTTCCTATAGTCACATGTTTGATAAGTGGAGTGAATTACTATATAATGTGACTCATGGAGTAAAGGAGATAAGCGTTGCAAAAACAGTGGTGGGAGTTGATCTAATTTAGAAGATTGGCAAATGCTTTCTGGAGGAAGAACTGATTTGGGATTTGAAAGATAAGTAGGAGTGAAACAAAAAAGGGGAAAGAACATTTAAGACAAGGGGAATGGCATATCAAAGACTTTTAACAGGAAGGTGCCTGTTTGATATATTCAAGACCTGAAGGAAGCTGAGTCTGGTGGCATATGCCTGTAACTCAGCTCTCTGGTGGGGTGAGGTGGAACTACAAATTCAAATCTAGGGTAGTTTTGTGACTTGGTGAGACCTTGTCTCAAAATAAAAAATAAAAGGACTGGTAATGTAGCATCCCAAGCCTTCCCCTCCCCGCTCCAAAAAAAACCCAAAAAAACAAAAAAACAAAAAAACCCCCAAAAAACCATGAAGGGAAAAGAGTAGTGAGATATAGTGAATGGAATAGGAGGAAGTTGCACATATGGGCTGAGATCAGATGTTTGCCATCTAAACTTTGTTAAGAATTTTGAATTTATTCTAAAAGCTGCAGGAAGCCATCAAAAGACTTTTAAACTGAGACTCTCCTTTCTTAGTTTAGTGAAATCCTTCAATGGTTAACTTTTTTTTTTTTTTTTTTTCTTTGAGACAGGGTATCTCTTTGTAGTTCAAGTTGGTTTTGAATTTACCATGTAGCTCAGCCTGGCCCGAAACTTTGGCAGTCCTCTTGCCTCGGCCTCCCAAGTACTAGGATTACAAATAAGCACCATAGGGGCTGGGGAGATGGCTCAGTGGAATAAGCGCTTCCCTGGCAAGCGCAAGGACCTGAGTTCAATCCCCAGTTCCACCAAAAAACCAAATAAGCACCATCTTTTCTTTTCTCCCCCCCCTTTTTTTTTTTTTTTTTTTCTTGTAGTACTGGCTAAGGAACTAGAACCTCAGGCATGCTAGGCAAGTGTTCTATGACTGAGCGGTATCCCTGGCCTTTTGTTAAATTTTTTGAGACATGATCTCTCTAGGCTGTCCAAATTGGTTTTGAACTTGCTGTCCTTCTGCCTCAGCCTCATCAGTAGCTGGGATTACAGCATTGTACCTTGCTTTTTTTTTTTTTTTTTTTTTTGAGGAGGGTGATGAAGTCTTGCTGTGTGGCCCAGCCTGGTCTTTAACTTCTGGGCTAATGATCTTTTTGCATTGGCATCCCAAGTGCTAGGGTTATAAGCATATGCCACTGACCCTGGCTGAAGTATAGTTAAATTTAATACTGTTAAAAATGGCATGTATAGGGGCCAGGGAGATGGCTCATTCCTGGTTCTGCCAAAAAAAAAAAAAAAAAAAAAAAAGGGCATATATAACATGGTCTTACTTTTCCCAAGTTTCTTCTCTTTCACTGTCATTCTGCCTATATAGATATATGTAACAATGTCTCAATATTTTCATGTTAATTTGGATTAATTTTGGATTTGAATAATGTATTTGTATTTATTCATTTAGAATAATATATTTTTTCCTTTTGTTGGATATTTATAGAATAATATTTTTAAAACTTTTGGGCTAGAACTGTAGCCAAGGATTAAAGTACTTACCTAGCATACACAAGGCTCTGGGTTCAATCCCCAGTACTGCAAACATAGTTTAGATATGTTATCTCATAGTGGGGCCTGCAATTCTATTGCTTTTCGAAGCTGAAGCATGAGGAGTTTGCCTGGGCTGCAGGTGAGTTCAAGGCCAGATTGATCTACGAAACCAGAGCCTGTCTTAAAACAACAACCACCAACTTTAATTTTGGGGACCAGGGGTACAGCTCAGTGGTAGATTATTTCCCTAGCATGTATGAAGCCCTGGCTTCCATCCCTAGGACTGCAAAGACAAAACCCAAAAAACCTCATTTTTGCATATTCCTATACCATTTGAGTTATGTATAGTTTTGTTTTCTTAGAAAAAGAGTGCTATAAAAAAATGCTGAGGTGATAACCACCATTAACTCTGTGTAGCTGGAAGAGTGCGTGAAGCCAGGTATGACTGTGCATGATACAAATCCCAGCACTCTGGGAGGCTGATGTTTTTGAAGTGGGTTGCAAGTTTGAACCCAGCATGGATGACTTAGCAAGACCCTAAGGTCAAAATAAAAATAAAACTTAAAAAGGGCTGAATTAGGGTTAGGGTTAGAATGAAAAAGCAAAAACGTGACTGGAGACCTAGTTCAGTGATAGAGCATTTGCCTAGCTTGAGACCCTGACCTTTTTGTACCAAAAAAAAAAGTCATTGTAATTTTTTTCCTTTTCCTTTCTTTCCTTTGTGTCTTCTAAAAATATTTCTCTTAAGCTTATAATAAAAAGAAAAAAAGAAAATTGCTTGGCTATTTCTTAGTAGATTAATCCAGATGTAGAGATAGATGAAGATGATAGCTGCTCTGATTTGTCCAAGTCTAAAACTTGACTTTTAGGAGTTGATTATCCAATTGTAGAATGGATAAAAATAGTAATAATAATATGAAGTTCAAATACATGCACTTTCATAGTGTATTTAGAGGCCAGAGTGCTAAAACAGTCTTTTTTTGTTGTTGTTTTTTGTGCTTGCCAGGCAAGCGCTTATTCTGCTGAGCTATCTCCTTGGGCCCAAAAACAGTCATTTTGTAATGCTGCCAGTCAATGGTGGCATATGCCTGTAATCCCAGGTACTTGTAAAACTGAGGTATGAGGGTCATGAATTCAAAGCCAGCCTGGGTGACATAATGAGTTCATGTCTCAGGAAAAGAAAAAGAAAAAAATGATACTGAGAATAATATGTTGGTATATAGAAGCCTAAATCTTAGGAAGCAAAGTAGTAATGATATTGATACATTTTCCATAAGAAATTATGCCATATTTGAAGTAAAAAGTGGATTTGTCATTTTTTAAAGATTTCATCATGTGAAGCCAGCAGTAAACAGTGATTTATGTAGTTTCTGGAAGGGTTTGTTGCTGTGTTGCTTGGACTGGCCTTGAACTCCAGGGCACAGTGGTCCTCCTGCCTCAGTTTCTGGAAGAGCTAGGACAAAAAGTGTATGCCATTGTACTCAGATCACGGCGATTTATTTATTTATTTATTTTTGGCTATATAAAAAAATACTAGTTTGCTGGTTGCAAAAATTTGAACATTAAATGTGACTTCTTTTTTGTGTGTGTGTGTGGGGGACCGGGGCTTGAACTCAGGCCCTTGCACTTGCCAGGGAAGCGCTTATTCTACTGAGCCATTTCCCTGGCCCCTAAATGTGACTTCTTATTGTTGGGCTGAAAGTTAGAGAAAGAATTTCACATCAGTATGAAGTTAGTTTTATCTAAATGTGAGAGTGGGTATAATTATAAAAAAGACTGGATGTGATCTCTGTGTAAATACCTTAATGATGTCATCTTTGAATATCTTTCAGACTCAGAAACATAAAGAAGATGGGACATATGTTTTCTGTCCTCACAGTCAACCTGTTAGCTGTCTTTACTTCTCACCTGCCAACCCTGTCCACCTCCTGTCCCTGAGCTATGATGGCACATTGCGATGCGGGGATTTCTCCAGAGCTGTCTTTGATGAGGTAAATGGTCACATGTTTTCATTCCAATGTCAGATGAGATTATGGGTTCTCCATGAAATGCCACAAGAGTGATTATGATCACTCTTATATTGGTGAAAGGGGTACAGTGTTGGGGTTGAGTTTAGGTCTTAGACCAGACCATCTATTGCTAGTTGTGTGACCCTGACAAGTTTACCTCTTCATGCCTCTGTTTCCTTAGTTGTGAAGTGGGATAGTCATGATAGCTGCCTTATAGGGTTGACACAAGGATTAAATGAATTATATAGATAAAGTATTAGGATAATGCCTGCTATGTAGTGTTTACTCTTTTTTTTTTACTTTATTTTTTGTTTAAGAGGTAGAGTCATTCTTGGTTGTTGCCTCAACTATTTTCCTTCCAGGGCCAGCCAGATAGCTCAGCAGATTAAAGTGCTTGCTTAGGCAGATGCAGGGGACCAGGGTTTGATCCCTGGGATGCCGTGCAGACCCCGTTCCGAGGGTGTGCTGAGATGGCAATTGAGACTGGGCGAGGTGGTGTGCTCCTGTAATCCCAGTGCTTGGGAGACTGAAAACAGGAGAATCACTATGAGTCCGGTCCATGTAGTGAGACCCTGTACTAAATACATAAAAAAAAAGAGCAAACAATTTTCCTGCCTCAGTTTCCTGTGTAGCTGGTACTAAAGGTGTGTGCCACTATATTAATTGTTTTCAGAAAGATTTTACTTTATTTTTATTTTTGTTATGTATTTGGTACAGGGTCTCCTGTACCAAAGCTGGGATTCCAGGAGCACACCACCACGCTCAGTCTCTAGTTAGACCCTGAACACGCTGTAGTCAGTCACTAGATTGGACTCGTGGTGATCTGCCTATTTATAGCCTCCCAAGATCTGGGATTACAGGAGCACACCATGCCAGTCTCAATTGGCATCTCAGTGTGCCCTGGGGGTGGGGCCGGGCTGGCACGGCAGGCCTGGGAAATGAACCCCGGCCTCTGTGCCTACTTGCAGGCTCATTAATCCACTGAGCTATTTGGCCCCTAAAATTTCATCTTCCTTGTGTGTGTGTGTGTGTGTGTGTGTGTGTGTGTGGCTCAGCCCATGCTGGGGGCAGGGCTGGCATGGCATGTGGTGCTGGGGTTCCTGGTCCCTGAGCTTGCCTAAGCTTACCTAAGCAGGTGCTTTAGACCGCTGCGTTGTCTTGCCGGCCCTCATCATCTATTATCTTCAAGCCAAGCCATGACATATCTACTATTCTTCCTCCTTTTCCATTTCCTCTCCTTTTTTCTTACTTTTCTTCCCCCTCTTTTCCCTTTCTCCCCTTCTCCTTATTCATGTCTTCTTTCTCTTTTTTTGTTTTGAGAAAGGTCTTGCTATGCAGTCCAGGCTGGCCTTGAACACGCTGTGTAGCCCAGGCTGGCCTCAAACTCACTGTCATCCTCCTGCCTCAGCCTACTGAGTGCTAGGATTACAGGTGTGTGCCACCACTCCTGGATGGCATGTCTTTTTTTTCTTCCTTCTGCTGGGAATTGAACCCAGGACCTGGACCCACACCTTCAGCCCAGATTTAATGTATATATTACTGATACTGTGTATCCTACCAAAAAAATTTATATACACTTCAGGAAAAGAAAAACTTGTATAAATGTTTTAATACTAAACTTATTGAGACATCATGAGATTAATTCAAGTTACTTTTGGCCTCTACAATTGTAAGAGGTGCCGAGAGTAGTAGCCATTAGCTTCCAGACATTTATTAGTATGGTGAACTATTGCTTGGCTAGCCTTGGTTGAGATTACATACATTTTCAATTTCTTCTCTAAGGGCTGATAGCGTAATGGGTTTTTGTGATACACATCTGTTAGGATCCCCTGTACTGAAGATAACACCTTTAGGGTCCCCTATATGGGGGTAAAGCCATTTTGTTGAAAAAATGTATTTTTCTTTTCCTGGAGTGAATGTGTATATATATATATTTTTAATGGGGTCTGGGGAGATGGCTCAGTGGAATAAGCACTTCCCTGGCAAGTGCAAGGGCCTGAGTTCAATCTCCAGTTCCACAAAAAAAAGAAAAAGAAAAAAAAAATAGTATAATATTAAGGAGATTGATTAGCTGTTTTGACTTGGTGAAATTGAAAACTGCTAGAGCTGTCATGTAATTTCTCCTCTTTGAAGTTGTGGACCCCCAGGGGGTTTTATACAGAGCCTCCAAGAATAAGGGCTTTTCCTGGCTGGTTCAACTCATGCCGGGCAGATTAAATTCCAATCTATTTCAGAATAACTGGAGGATCTGGGCATCCATACTCATGACCACCTGTCCTGCCTCTGTCTCCACACTGTTGTAATCCTCTTGATTTCTGGTGGGGTGGGGTAGAAGCTTCAAAGTTCTAAAGAATCCTTTAGATCCTGTTGTTTATATTTTGATCTATTATTTAAATATCTACTCCTTAATAGTAATATTTGAAATGAGCTTCTAGATTTGTGTCGCCATATTAGGTTTCTTCAATAAGAGAGTTTACAAGTTGAACTTTATTTTGAATTTTTAGTATTTATTGAGTGTTTATGAATAAGCATCAAACCTCATTAATCAAAGCTTTCAACATCAGTTTTTTTGTTTACAAAGTCTAAAATGTAAAGAAGTTTTTAAAAAAGCCTAAAATGTAATAATAGAAATAAATTCCAATATATCTGGTCTTGCTATTTCATTAGGAGGTTCTTACTATGTTATACAACGTGTAGTTAATAGAAACATAAAATATCAGAATGAACTATTCTTAGTATGTATTGCACATTACATCAACATTTTCAAAATCAAATGTTTACAAAATCCAAAACATTACAAATTCCTATGTGAACTACATGAAAATACCAATAGAACTGTATCACAGGAATAATCTTGCTTCAGCTGTCAGAGCCAAGGCGGTCTTCATACATGACAAGTCTCACTTACACTGACAAATGCACATGTGCTTGGCTTTTCTTTCCCATGTAGTAGGCCATTCTTGTCAACTTTCTTTTTTTGGGAGTTTTTTTATTATACAGCACATACGTAGCAGGAAAATAAGATATCAATAAAATATACCAAATATAATGCATGCTTAGAATAGATGTCAGCATTTTCTTTTTTTTGTTTTTCAGAATGTCTAATAATTTTATTATGTCAGAAATGAAGTCTAAACATCACCAAGAGACATCACAACATCACATATTATTGGTGATTGAGATAGAGATGATATTCTTTGTTTTTTTTTAAAAAATTTTATTTCATTTATTTGTGTGTGTGTGTGTGTGTGTGTGTGTGTGTGTGGCCAGCTCAGCCCACCAGGGGGCGGGGCTGGCTGGCATGTACAGGTGCTGGGGGATTGAACCACGGTCTCTGTGCTTTGCTAAGCTTGTTCTAAGTAGGTTCTTTAGACCACTGAGCCATCTCACCAGCCCGATATTCTTTCATTTTAGAAGACAAATCATTCCAGAGACATAAGCGTTGTCTTTTTTTTTTTTTTTTGGGTGGAACCAGGGATTGAACTCAGGCCCTTGCGCTTGCCAGGGAAGTGCTTATTCCACTTAGCCATCTCCCTGGCCCCACAGCATTGTCTTCTAATCAAAGTTTCATTGCTTAAATTCATTTAAGATTCCTTTTGTAGGATTTGATAGAAGTATTTCTACATTGCTGATCTCACTATGCTTGCATTGTGTAACACACTTAAAAATAATAATTCATTGTCTATATTATGGTAATTGGATTTTATACCTATGTTACATTCACTTATTCATTGTATTGTGTAACTGTTACATATTGTAATTCTCAAGAACATCAAGATGGACGTGCTATCTTTTCAGAATACCTTACATTGTATACATCTAATACATTTAGTATTATAGCATAACTTCCTAGATGATAAGAGAAGATGTCCGCATTTTCACATCAACTGTTGGCTTGCTAAAAAAAACCTAAAGGATAACATCAGAAATAAATAGCTATGTGAACTGTAATGAAAATAAAAACAAAAGTCTACCACAGAAAAGGAAATATATATAAATATATATTTATTTATTTTTTTTAACTTTTTGTAGCCCCAGAGAGGCTCAGTCCTTGGCACTGCCTTCCTCATGGCAGCTAGCACGTTGCTCAGCTCTTCACATTTCCTCTTGGTATGGATGTGTGTCCCACCCTTTTCTTGATAAACTTGAGAACACATTTGTCTTTGGAGACCTTGAGCAGCTCCATGGCACACTGCTCATAGGGAGTGAAGCCACACTCCTCCCAGATTATGTCCTGCATGAACGTGGTGTGTTTGGTGAGGTGTCCGCAATGGTGGCTGTGCCTCAGTTTGTTCACATTCTTTGTCACCTTGTGGCCCTTGTCATGGGATAACAAAAGGCCATGGCTACTCTTCTTCAATGATTGCTGTGGTGGAAGGCCTCAGACATACATTTTTATACCATATCTTGAAAACTTACTTGGCAAATACTGCTTAAATCTACAGTGACCAGGAAATGCATGATGTTCATCAATAGTAATCCAGATGGTGTGTAAATTACTTTTATTTTGTACAAAAGCAAACAGTGAGTGAATAACAGTCAGATTATCAGTTGGTATGTACTCAGCATTGCTGTTTTCTTCCTCATCTGTACCAAGGAGGTTTTCAATCTTGCATCTGTATCAGTTGATTCTTGCTCTGTTTCACTGTCATAGGAACTGTTAAAGGCAGCTGGTGCTGCTTTGGAGTACCTTGTCTTTCATCTGTCAAGTGAGTGAAAACACAGATGGGTTCCTGCTTTCCCCAGGCCCAGCTATGGATGTAAGGGAAAGAAACTCCCAATCTGAAAGATACCTGGGGCAAGTTTATGTTCTCTAAAACTGAAGAATGTAAAAAAAAAGAATAAATAAATAAAAAATAAATAAAAATAAAACTGAAAAATGAATTTTAGGAACAATGATAGAGCTTAACAGCAGAGTATATTTATTTGTTGAGGGAAAGAAAACTTCTGTCAGAGAGGGACAGAAGAAGGATCCAAGTGGGTTGTCCTGAGCTTTTGTTTTTTTGGTACTGGGGACCAAGCTCAGTACTTTGCACTTGCCAGACAGGCACTTACGTCACTCAGCTGTCTCTCCTGGCCCTGCCGTGAACTTTTAAAAATATATAGATTTTAATCTTTGTGTATATCTTGGAGAGGTAGTAAAACCACATTGCCTCATTCTTTTTAGCATTGCATGTTATTTCAGGGTGAAGATACTATTCATTTGATCAGATCTGTCTTGGCAGCTTTTGTTTCTATTATAAGCTTTCTTGCAGCAGATATCTGTATTTCTTTTAGTGAAATTATTAGGTAAAAGACTGCAAGCATTAAATATTTTGATAGATGCAGCCTGATTAACTTTCAAGAGGTTTTTTCTTGTGTGTGTGTGTGTAGGTGGTTACTGGGAATCAAACTCAGGACCTAACACTTGCCAGACAGGCACTGTGCCACTGAGCTACATCCCCATCCTCAAGAATTTTAATCTGTTACTCTCCTATAAGAACAGATGAACATTCAACAAGGTATCTTGGACTTAGTTGGCAAAGTTATTTGGTATATTAAGATATAATTTCAATTGGATAGAATTTAAACTCAGTTCGTTTCTTAATAAGTTTCACAGGGTATGTCTGGAACAGAGAGGGTTACTGGTTTTGAAGTTTAGGATGTCACACTGACATGAGTAGATGGGGCATTTGATTGGAGGTAAACCTCACAGCTGAGCTGCCTTGGTTTCCAGTTCGCTCTGTGCCTCCTGTATGGACGATGGGAAGTGAAGTGATTTGGGCAGAGTGATTTATAATTCTTTTAGCAAGAATTTATGCATTGACTTTTCTTAAGGGAAAAGTGTCCTACAGCTAATTGTTACTTATTCCCTTAGGTTTACAGAAATGAAAGCAAGAGCTTCTCCTCCTTTGACTTCTTGACAGAGGATGCTGCAACTTTGTTAGTAGGACACTGGGATGGGACCCTGTCACTGGTGGATAGACGGACATCTGGGACTTCTTATGAGAATCTTATTAGTTCTTCTATGACAAAGATAAGAACTGTTCATGTGCACCCTGTGCACCGACAGTATTTTATCACTGCAGGATTGAGGTACGTTTTTAAGGAAATGTTGTGGTTTAGTTTGGTTGTCAAAGACATCTGACTTTTGTAATACACAAAGGCCAAGTAATTTTCCCTTACACACTGATGTAAGCTTCTTTTCAGTGTGGGTTTTTTTTTTTTCCCTTTTTGGAGACAAGGTCTTGCTATATAGTCCATGCTGGCCTTGAACTCATTATAGCGCAGGCTGGTTTTGAACTCGAGGTGATCCTCCTGCCTGATGTCTGTAGTATTGGGATTATAGTGTGTTCCACCACATTGGCTCTTTTGGATTTTATTTTTTGGCCAGCTCAGCCCACCCTGGGGGCAGGGCTGGTATGGCATGTGGTGCAGGGAATCAAACCACAGTCCTTAGGCTTGCCTAAGCTTGTCTAAGCAGGTGCTTTAGATTGCTGAGCTATCTCACCAACCCCGAGGCTCTTTTCTATTTAATGACTAGTGAAAGTACTGAAATAATTGTACTTTTTTGTTTTCCTTGGCATATTATGTTCATTTATTTCTAGTTTTCTGAGAAAACCTAAAATTGTAATCAAAAGGTTACATATGATTTATCATTACCCTGTGGTGATTTTTTTCTTGGAAAGATTACAAATTCAGCTAGAAACTTATCTGTATATCTGCTGGTTTACATGTAGCTGTTATAGTTTTGGAATCTTTCTAATATTTTACTTTGTACCTACACGAGTGTTTATAATATTATAGAAAGTTAGAGGGCTCTGACTAGGTAATCATGGAAATTAAATAATATATTATTGAAGAATCAGTGAATCACAAGAAATCAGAGAAGAAAAAAATTTCTTATTGTAACGTATTTGCAAACCAGCAGGCTATTTTTCCTTTTGTGTCCATGGAGTGGTTTAATCTAAATGAGTTCAATAATTATTGGTACTTTGGTTAGTTATAAATTATGAGAAAACATTTAGAGAATCATTTCAAAATCTTATTGGTGTCATCAGAGGGAAAAACACAAGACTGATGATTTTTTAATATTCATTGTTTTATTTGTTATTTGGTTTGTTGAAATAGTCTATCTTTGTAGTTTAGGTTGACTTTGAACTTACCATGTAGCTGAGGCTGGCCTTGAACTTACAGTGATTCTCTTGCCTCAGCTTCTTGAGTGCAGTGATAACAGATGTGGCTAGTATTTTATTGGTAAGAAAGTATTGGATGCAAAAATATCTCAGCGCAGGCCAAATAGCTCAACGGATTAAAATGCCTGCTTAAGGGCCTGGGGAGATAACTCAGTAGTATAAGTGCTTGCCTGGCAAGCCCAAGGGCCTGAGTTCAATCCCTGGTTCAGCCAAAAAAAAAAAAAAAAAAAGCACCTGCTTAGGCTGACACAGGAGCCAGGGGTTTGATTCCGGGCCTGCCATGCCCGGCCTCGCCCCCGGGTGCGCTGAGACTGGGATTGAGACTGGGTGTGGTGGTACACTACTGTAATCCCAGTGCTCGGGAGGCTGTAAACAGGAGGATCACTAGAGTCCAGTCTACGCAGTGAGACCTTGTATACCCTATCCTAAATTAAAAAAAAAAAAAAAAAAGCAAATCATTTGTGCAGAAAAAAATATTTTAAAATAAATGAAGTTGCTGTAAAAAGATTAGAAGGTTCTTTCTAAAATGTTCTTCAGTGTGGTGGGTATTTGAGTATCTAGTTTACATTAAGCCCTGTTCTTTTTTTTTTTTTTTTTTTTGTACCGGGGATTGAACTCAGGACCTTGTGCTTGCCAGGCAAGTGCTTGTTCTACTGAGCTATCTCCCCGGCCCCTGTGTTCAGTCCTGTACTACAGCTCACTGCATACACAGTGGTAACATTGATCATTGCTTTTCTACCAAAGGGACATCCATGTCTATGATGCGAGGTACCTGAGTTCCAGGAGAAGACAGCCTTTGGTGTCTGTGACTGAACACACGAAGAGCATTGCTTCTGCCTACTTCTCACCTGTTACTGGTAACAGAGTGGTCTCTACATGTGCAGATTGTAAGCTGAGGTAAACTTTTTAATAAATATGAAGAGTCTGTAGCTACTGTCACTAAAGCAGAAACTTTGCTTACTACTTTTCCTGTTTAATTGATAGTGCTGTGGCTTTGCATTCATATCTAGGTTTTTTTTCTTTCGTGGAACCGGGGATTGAACTCAGGCCCTTGCGCTTGCCAGGGAAGCGCTTATTTCACTGAACCATCTCCCCAGCCACCATGTTTAGATTCCCAAATACCAATGACCCTTTTTTTTCTTTTTTTGCGGAACCGGGGATTGAACTCAGGCCCTTGCGCTTACCAAGGAAGTGCTTATTCTACTAAGCCATCTCCCCGGCCCCTAATGACCCTTTTTTTGAGACAGTTTTCTTACTATGTAAGGTCTGGCTGGCCTGAAATGCATGACAATTCTCCTGCTTTAGCCTCCCAAGTGCTGAGATTATAGGCATGCATCACCTGCTAGGCTTTGACCTGTACTTTAAAACAATTATTATTGTTTTCTACTTCTTATTAGTATATATTTTCAATATGTAATGACTAATGGGGAATTGGTATAGGTATACAACACATCTTAATTCTTTTTCTATACCCTTCCCCTAATCCCCACCCATCTTTTGGTTCCCTCCCCATTTATAAAAGATCTATCTTTCTGTTTCCAATTTTCAGTCTTTTATTTTACTCTTCACTTATACTTTGGGTTTCTTTCTCTCTCTTCTTTGAAACAAGGTAGTTTAGGCTGGCCTCAAACTTGCAGCAATCCACCTGCCTTGGCTTCCTGAGTTCTGGGGGTTTCTCATAGAAGAGAAACCATGCAATATTTAAGCTTGTGTGTCTAATTTATTTTACTTAACATTATGGTTTCTAAGGTGTACTGATTTTCCTACAAATGACTCGGATTCATCTTTCTTCATAGTGGAATAGTACTCCATTGTGTGTGAATGCTACATTTTCTTTATCCGTTCATATGTTGATGGACATATAGGCTGCTTCCAAGGTTTAGTATGAGTTATGCTTGCTGCAAAAAACATGGACAAGCATGTCTCACTGTAGTATACTGTTTTTAACTCTTTTTGAGATGACACATAGAAAGGGAATAGGTGGAATTCTTTTTTTTTTAATTTAAGAAATGGTTTTTTAAAAAAAAAAAGGAAAAAGAAATTGTCTTGCTATACAGTTCAGGCTGGCCTTCAATGTAATATGTATCCCAGCTTGGTCTCCAACTTGTAGTGATCCTCTTGCCTCAGCCTCCAGAGCTCTGTGACTACAGGCGTGTGCCACTATGCTTGACCATGATTCCATTAGTAGATTCTTGGTGTTATTCCCTGTGCAACTGGGGTTCTGTTCACACAGTTCTTGCCTATATCTTTGTCTTTAAAAGTTTTACCTATTTTATCTTCCAGCAGATTTTTTTTTAAGAATTATTTATTTATTTATTTATTCATTCATTCATTTTGTGTGTGTGGCCAGCTCAGCCCACCAGGGGGCGGGGCTGGCTGGCATGTGGTGCTGGGGGATTGAACCGCGGTCCCTGTGCTTTGCTAAGCTTGTTCTAAGTAGGTGCTTTAGACCACTGAGCCATCTCACCAGCCCCCAGATTTTTTTTTTTTTAATGTTTAGATTTTTGATCCATTTTGATTTTAGTTTAATGCATGGTGAAAGAGATGTGTCTAGATTCAATCTTCTGCATAGAGTTAGCCCAGTGACCTGTACTTAATGGCTTTTTCTTTTTTTTTTTTTGCGGAACCGGGGATTGAACTCAGGCCCTTGCTCTTGCCAGGGAAGCGTGTATTCCACAGAGCTATCTCCCTGGCCCCAGCTTTTTCTTAATTAGTTTTGGGGTTATAGAGAATCTGTAGCTACCCTGGGGAGTAATGGTTAGCCTTTTTTTTTTTTTTTGGCGGAACCAGGGATTGAACTCAGACCCTTGCGCTTGCCAGGGAAGCGCTTATTCCACTGAGCCATCTCCCCGGCCCGGTTAGCCTTTCAGCATTGAAGAAGCCCAGAAATCCAGCTGTCTGCTGTCTTGGAAAGGAGAGTTATAGGGGAGAGAGAAGTTTTGGCAATGGTGGGGTTTGCCCTGCAGGTGCTGAGTGGAAATGACCATGGGCAGGCAGAAAAAGAGCAAAAATTTGGCTTCCATATAGACTAGTGGTTATGTTTCTCAGGTTTTAGCTTTGATTTTTTTTTTTTTTTTGTATCATATATCGAACTTAGGACCTTACACTTGCCAGGCTTGTGTTCCTGAGTTATATCCCTAGCCTTGATTATTTTCTATAGTTACTTCCTAAAAATTGATTTTAAAATCACTTGAACAAAAACTAAAAAATGTTAGGGTTTTCAGCATAGGAGAGAGGCAAGGAAAGAAAAGTGAGGCCTTTATTGAGGACACAGAGAAGGCTGCTAGGAAATGGCAGGGATCCTCTGACCTGAGACAAAGGGAGCTGGGGTGGTAGGACTTTTGCTAGGGGCAAAGTTTGAGGGGCATGCTCAGTGATGCTTTAAGGAGCTGATTTGATTGGAGCTTCCCTTGTGCTTTTTTTGGAAGGGTAAGGGGAAGTTGTATTTAGGACTGAGGGGAGAAGACAGAAGTGAATTTTCAGCCGTGTGAGACCAGTACCATAGTGATTGAGCAGTTTGTACTCGGCAGGAACCTATCAGAAAATGTCAATTTTAAGAGATGTGAGCTGGCCATGGTGGCACATACTTGTAATTTCAGAATTCGGGAGGCAGAGGAAGGAGGCTCAGCCTGAGCTACATACTGAGACCGTGTCTCAAAAAAGAAAAAGAAAGAGGTGCGGAGATACCAGTAGTCCTGACTACTCAGGAGACTGAGGTAGGAGGTTTGCTTGAGATTAGAAATTCAGGGCTTGCCTGGACTATATAGCAAGATGCCCTCTTTTGAAAACAAGATAGAGAATGTTAGTGCAGCCACAATAGCAAATGATTTTTAAAATATTTATTTATTTACTTACTGTATTTTAGGGAAGGGTCTGCAGGGTGTTCTGGGTCTCACCACTAGATTGGACTCATAGTGCTCTGCCTTTTTACAGCCTCCCAAGAGCTGGGATTACAGGCGCACGCCACCATGCCCAGTCTCAATTGCTGTCCCAGTGCACTCTGGGGGCAGGGCCGGCATGTCAGACCTGGGGATAGAACCCCCAGCCCCTGCACCTGCTTGTAGGAGCTTTAATCCGCTGAGCTATTTGACCCCCCCTTTTTAAAAATATATTTAGTTACAGAGTCTACAGAGTCTTACTATGTAGATTGGACTTGTAGTGATTCTCCTGTTTTCAGCTTCCTAAGCACTGGGATTACAGGTGCATGCCACCATGCCCAGTCTCAATCTCCGTCTCAGTGCACCCTGGGGGCAGGGCTGGCACAGCATGCCAGGGATTAAACCATAGCCACTGCGCCCTGCCCAAGCAAATGCTGAGCTATCTGGCCAGCCCTACCAAATGTTTTGTTTTCTTCTAGAATTCCAACTTTGTGTAAAATTGCAAACTCTTCTTAATTTGAGTGTTTTACCTTATGTGAACTTGGAGTGCATTTATTATTAAATCACACATAATTGTTCAGTGTATTGTATAGGCCAGGCTCTTAATGGTCTCTCATTCCTGCTTGGGTAGGGCCTGGTCTGAAGTGTGTTTCTGGTGCCCCATTAGTTCCTCAGAGACTGTGTCCCTGAGAGATGAAGAAAGTCAATCATCATGGAAAGGATGGCATCTCTGTGACCCTTTCCACATATAAACTTTCTTTTTTCTGAAGAGCTGCCTGTTTGTCCCATTCCTGTTTGTTTGTACTGTAAGGATTAGTCTTGTTACATCACTGAAAACAGAAAAAACATGAGATGAAACAGTGCTGAGAAGGTTTAGGAGGTAGTTTATTTACACCAGTGGGCTTGACTGGGATCACTTCCAGAGCATTAGAGTCCCACCTGGCAGGGTTTTGGAACTTTTATAGGGAAGGCACAAAGACAGATTTGGTGCATTGTGGTAGGAGGGTTGGGTGACATCATGGGTTGCTAAGGGAGTTAGTTAAACATGTCAAGCTACATTGCAAGGCCATCAGTTTATTTTCTGTATTTATTTATTTATTTTTGTGTGTATTTTAGGGTGGGGTCTACAGGGTGTTCAGGGTCTCACTACTAGATCAGACTCATAATGATTCTCCTGTTTACAGCCTCCTAATTGCTGGGATTACAGGTGGGCACCACCACGCCCAGTCTCAATCACTGTCTCAGTGTGCCCCGGGGGAGGGGCCAGCATGGCAGGCCTGGGGATTGAACCCCCAGCCCCTGCACCTGCTTGCAGGTGTTTTAATCCGCTGAGCTATTTGGCCGGCCCTGAGGCCGTCAGTTTAAACAAGTAGGAGTTACACAAATGAAAAAGTGTGCTATTATTGAGCTTGTCCAGACACATCCATCTGGTTTTGGCAGACATTCTTGGCAGGCCTTATTTAAAGTTTTATTTCCTTTTTACAGTAACCATTAGTAATTTTGCTTTCTAGTAATTTAGGCAAGAAGCTCTCACTAGAGTCTCATGCCTGAAAACTTCCCTGAAATTGTTTCTGAAGGGGAGGATGTGGTGAGAAGTGTGTTTTCCTCCCACCAGGGTACTCAGCACAGCCTCTGGATGTCTCTTCTTGGTGCTCTTCGTTTTTAGTCTCTGCACCACGTTGGCCAACACTATGAGACCCTCACCTGATGGCTGTTAAAGGAAAATGAATTTTGGTACATGCATTGACTTGTAGATAAATTTGCATTTTCAAACTGCATTTTTTGTGTATGTTCCAAATTACAGTGTATCTTAATATAGTTGTAGAGTCCTCTCACTTTGGAATGTTCATTTTAAGTTTGGAGTAAGTGTTTAAATAGATTATGTCTGTGTTAAATTGTAAGTGCTAAATTTTATAATATGCCTTATAAATTTTATTAAATTTATTAAGTGATGGGGCTGGGGAGATGGCTTAGTGGAATAAGCGCTTCCCTGGCATACACAAAGACCTGAGTTCAATCCCTGGTTCCACAAAA